TGGTGGTGGTGATGGGAGAAGGGGAAGGGAGGGGGAGCGCGGCGCTAGAGGAGGAGGGAGAGGGGGCCGGGCGCGCTGTCGAGGCCGGTGCGGTGGTCGACGCTGAGGTGGAGGAGGAGGGGCGGGCTTTCTTGCGCGAGTGGGCGTGCGCAGCGGCGGTGGAGGTCGAGGACGAGGTCGAGGTCGAGGTGGACGCGGGTGGGGCAGGAGCAGGGGGAGGAGCTGCCGAGGTGCTCTGCGCCGGGACCACGCTCGCGCGCACGACGGGACTCGCAGGCTGCGCGACCGGCGCCGGCTGCTGCTGCTGCTGCGCGCCGCCGCCGCCGCCGCCGTCGTCGTAGTCGTCGTCGTCGTCGCTGCTCGCGATGCGCGGCGGGCGATACTTCTTCTCGCCAGTCGCGGGCGGCGCGGGCGCAGCATCGGCGGCGGTCGAGGTGCGCGAGCTGCCGCGCTTGGCTGCGGCTTGCGCGGCCCTTGTCGGCGTCGGCGCCGGCGCGGGCGGCGAGGCGTCGTCGGCGAGGGTCGAGGGGGCGGTGCTCTGCCGGCGAGACGGGACGCGGCGGGACCGAGCAGGCGTCGTCGCCGGTGCGGGTGCCGGTGCAGGTGCGGTCGTGCGCTGCTTCTTGGCGGCAGGCGCGGTAGTCGCTGGCGAGCGCGAGTGGGCCGACTCGGAGCCGGACGACGAGAGGCTCGACAGGTCCGAGGACGGCTCGCGCTTGGGGCGGGTGTTGGGCGCCGGGTCGAGGCTGTCGAGGGCCTGTGTAGCGCTGTGAGGACGCTTGGGGCGGTCGGCCATGGGTGAGGGAGAGGTCGACGTCGAGGGAGAGGGAGAGGGAGGGGCGGAATGCAGTCGAGGTTACGGCGAGTGGTTTGTATTGAGGTTGTAACCAGTTCGAGGCGGGGCGAATCACCGAGTCGCTCCCGCTTGGCCGACGCCCTCGCGCCGCCCCTCTCGCACGCGCGTCGCGAGCCACCCGGGAACCAACACACACGCGCGCGTCGACCATGGCGACCCAGCCAGGCCAAGCACCACCAGGACTGTCGTCCGACAGGCTGCGCCAGGTCATCGGTGCGCCCCTCGTCCCCTCTCGTCCTGCCTTCCCCCCTCCTGCTCCTCCCCTCCCCCCTCGCTCTCGTCTCATCTCGCTCCGGTTCACTCGCCACGCTCGCCGACTG